TGCACCACAAGAAAATGTCTACAATGGAGAAGAAGGAAGTATTCCATTTTACGAAGGACAATCTCTAAGTTCATTTGCAAGGATAGTTACATTATAATGTGCTTCTCTTTCCCCCCGCCCCCAAAGTTTTTCCCCCCTTTTTCTTAAAGTATTGAATGTACTCAAAACGTTATGGCCCGTGTAACAGCCCCACATAAATACCATTTTGTTAGTAAAAACATGAAAAAGTCACATTGCTTGGATGTTCGACAGTTCCAATAAGTTAAGACCAAATGATAATATTCAATAATAGTTACCCTGCATTACGATGAGAACAAAAATAAATTACACGTGCTAGGTTTTATATATACTCATCATAGTAATACATATTCACTTGCAGCGCTAAAAGAAGGACGAAGAGTCACATTCTATCAGAAAAACAAAACAAAACAAAACAAAACTGGAAAATGCCGGGTTTTGCCAGAGTCTCTCCTGCCTTTAGCAAGTGTCGGTGCTGTGCCCGTTCCTCACTGGTGCCCCCCCCCGGGGTTAGGGTTTAAGAGAAGGTCAGATTAGCGGTCAGTTCCCGGATTCGGTTCTCCCTGCTCATCTTCTTGAGCTTCATTCTGCGGTTTTGAAACCAAATCTTGACCTGCCTGTCAGTGAGGTTTACGCTCTTACTGATCTCTAGACGGCGCTCTCGAGTGAGATACATATTGAATAAGAACTCTTTCTCTAATTCCAGTGTTTGGTGTTTAGTATAAGGACACCTCTTCTTTCTGCCACTCTTTGCAGTTAGCCAATTGCTTGTTGGAGTATCAGACTTGATTTCCTCTATCAAAATCAAAGAAGAAGAAAAAAAAAATAAAAAATATCTCAGGCTGTTAGAGTGTACCCTTGGCCATGACCCCTCCTCTGCAGTGTCTGCCAGATATGGTGGATGTGGGCATGAAACACAGCTCGGGTGAGGTGTGGGCACAGAGAGGGGACCCACTGCCAGGCTGGGCTCCCCCATCCCCACCACTTGATTTCCTCTATCAAAATCAAAGAAGAAGAAAAAAAAAATAAAAAATATCTCAGGCTGTTAGAGTGTACCCTTGGCCATGACCCCTCCTCTGCAGTGTCTGCCAGATATGGTGGATGTGGGCATGAAACACAGCTCGGGTGAGGTGTGGGCACAGAGAGGGGACCCACTGCCAGGCTGGGCTCCCCCATCCCCGCCACAAGTCCCCTGCCTTGCGGCCGCCCCGTCTTCCTGCCCCTTCCAGAAATGGGGTCTCGAGTTTTCAGCTGGCGTTTAGCATTTCAACAATGTTTAACCTGCCATCAGCCCCATGGCTACATTTTTACGGGTCTAGCCTCGCCATGTCCGCCTCGGGCTCTCAGGACACTTGCTACGAAAATACCCCGATTACAAAATTCCCTCGCACTATATATTGAAGCATCCCCCCCCTCCCCCCCCCCATCAGCTGAATTACACCAGCACACCTAGGACTAGACATAGACGTTTTCCCAGCCAAAGAAATACAGAAGGAATTAACACCCTCTGCCTCGTATTTTTTTCGTTTTCTTTTAGATTTTTTTTTTCTCCCCCACCAGAAAGAAATTTGCCTGGCATCAGCCTAGATTTGGGCTGTTAAATAGAATTCATTTAAAGAGAATCTCCATGCACACGTAAGGTAAAAATCGACCTAGAGGTTGCAAAGCACATTTTGATAGGAGACAATTTCCCGTTTTGAGATTCTTCAACACATGTCGCTCGAAAGGAAGGCTTTAGTGCCCTTTTAAAGGGAAAATAAAACCAGATTATCACCACCTATATCTTTCACACGCATTTCAAAATACTGCTGCACTTTTGGAGACCAACCCAAGGTTATATAAAGCACCACATTTAAATATTTCACCTTTGGACCAGGCAGATAGCGGGCTGCTGTTTTCATTGTGCATTTGTTCCAACTTTACCCAGCCTGGTAGCACCTATTCCTCACCTATTTTAATAGGACCGTAATTAACTTTAAATGCAAACAAACCGCAGTAAGGCCCAGTGGGGGAAAAAAAAAAAAAAAAAAAAAAAAAAAAAAAGGGAAAAAAAAAAAAAAAAAAAAAAAACATAAACCCCCCCCAGTGAAATATTACGAGAGAAAAGTTGAGCTGGTCGTATTTTACAACCTCCAGACCTGCTTTTTTAGAGGTATGGGTCTGCTTTTGGCTGCTGCAGCGCATTAAGGAGCACACGGCTACATTCCCCGCACCACAGAAGCGCTCTGCATGCACGGGAGAGGCAGATCTCTACAGCAAATCTTTGGACCCTTTTGTGCAGCATTTTTGCCTGCCAAAATCTTCAGAGACACAGCACCTGCAGCCCGATACTCCTTAGCATTAAATGTGATGGCTGTGATGCTCGTTAGTATATTCGAGCGTGCTTTATGGCGCTGGCGTGTTGGAGTTACACCACGGCACGGCTTAAACTCGGTAATACAGACCTTTACTCTCCTTCTCCTGGACTTCTGGGCTGGACACGGAGCCTTCGGGCAGGCAGCTCCGCTCGTCTGGCAACGTGGACTTGGGCTCGGGACTTTCCACTTCAGAGACTTTAGCGGTGCTGTCTTGGTTGTTCGGGTTTTCATTCATTTTCTTTTCCAGCTGAAGTTGAGCAGATATCTGCGGTTTGGAGCTGCCGCGAGGGTTTAACTGTAACATTACAGTTGAACTCGTTTCAGGGCTATTATTGTACTCTTGGGTTTTCCCAGTGGCGTAGGTCTGGCTCAGTCTAAAATATCCTGGGACGGGAACCTCGGGGTTCTCAATGGGGCATGATTCAGACACCAGCCTCTGGTAGGAAGGGACGTCTGCAGAAATGAGTTTGGATCTCTTATCGGAATACATGCAGCAATTGCTTTCTTCTTTAATATTTGTAGTGAAGGAACAAGTGGGGACCTGCTGTGTAACAGGTTGCTCTATTCGACAAGATCTGTTCGGGTCTGTCCAAGTGTCTACTTGAGGTATATACGGATGTACATTCATACCCATATTTTGGTGATTAACTTCTCTTTTAGCCAGAGACGGAAGGAGTCCACAGGTTTGCATCCCATACGTCCCAATGTCTGTGCTAGGTGGCATATACATGCTGGCGCTGTTGGAGTAGAAACTGTCACTCCTGCACGCACTGATGAGAGAATCTACTAAAAAAGTATTAGCGGCAGGAGAGCTGTTGGGAAAGGACATTTTGGGGCGGAATTTGAGGAAGAGAGATTGTGTCCTTTGTAGGCTGACATCTCTAGGAAAACATTCCCGTGTAATTGCGGATGCCTCCGCGCGACCACATGACAGCCGGGCCAATGGCAGAGCCCG